GGGAGATCGTTTATATATATGCTAAAAAGCAATGGACCCAAGATACTTCGCTGTGGTACACCACAGGTCATAGGCAAACGGTCTGAGACTGCAGTTTGGATTCTGACGACTTGATAGCGTGAAGTAAGATAGCTGCGAAACCACTGAATGGCTAGAGGTGACAGTTGTATTTGTAAAATCATGGCCAGTTTTCATGCATTTAGCTTGCTAAGTAAAGTTCTAATTTCGTAAACTGACTGCTCAATATTTCTCAAATATTGCTATATAACAGATCACTTAATGTCTGGTCCCTCTGGAAATTATTTAGTTTGCTTTCCCTCGAGTCTCGATGTTTCACGGGGCGAGGCCGAGAAAGTAGGAAAGTAAAACTAAGTATTTCCCTCGCGACAAGACATTAAGTGTGTAATATTTGTGAACTGTAGGGTAACATCTTGTTTCCCTATGAATCTTGGATAACATTTCATAGAGTTTGCATGTATTTCAAATATTAGCGGTTTTCTTCTTAAAGTTTGAGATATAAGCAATTCTTTAATTAATTTCTAGAAGAGAGGTCAGGAAGGTATTCTGACCCCTGGTGGCATGGCTGGGATAGGAACGATAAACCTCATTTTGCATTTCAAAGTCAATATGGACTTTGTGAATCCAGCTTGGTACAATCTTTTACAGGAAGTCCACTGTCACTGGTAGAAATCGTGTTTAAAATAAAACTTATCATGCGTTTCATAAATCTGTGTCACGCGTTTTTAAAAAAAGAACGAGCGTTTTGTTCCCTGCACGGCGACATTACTTTTGTGTTAAGTTTAATTACATTACCGTTCAAGCCTCCATGTACGTACGATCACTCGGACCCCTCCAATAAAATTGCTTTGAAATATCATGAAATGTCTTTTGATAAACCTAAAAATTCTGTCTAAAAAGGTCTTTCGTAATCAAACTTTGAATGATTATTTTTGTGCCTTTGAACTGTTACTTGAGTATTGAATTATATAATTTGAATAAACTGCTAGAGAGATAATCTTCTACGAACACGGCATGTTTTGACGTTTGCAACCATGATTAATTTTAAGTTGTTATTTTATTTCTTGCTCTATGACGTCACGTGCAAACGAAGAATAGAAGTGCAAAATAGCCGAAGTTCAAACAACCCAAATCCAAGGTAGTATCTTGAGAACACTAAAAACCATTCATTTTCCTAGAAAGGTCACTTAATCTACTAACTTTTCCGATTGAAATACCGCGGGCACTTGCTTTGTGTTGCGAAGGAGCTTCTTTCTTACTTATTACATATTTTAACGCTTTGTCGCATCGATCGTACACTGAATACTTCATGTGAGAAATACAATACGATGATTTATGATTTATATAGCGCCCTTTAATTTCTATGTGGATATAATCAAAGGCGCATTACATTGAGTTGTGAATGACAGATCGCTCTTAAGCAATTTACAAGCATGAGAGATGGTTTAGTATGAAGTGTAAGCACTGAGGGTTGTCACTGCCAGAATATCTTTACGTCCACAGTGGTTCTTTTACGTCCCTCCGGTATTGGTTAGTAATGATGAAGTGTGGAAAGACGGGACTGCCATTTAAAGGTTATCCGAGCCACTTGAAAGTCTAACCATTTGCAGATGTAATTACAAGGGTAGCACTTTCTCCTCAGTTATTTTAAGACCCTGATTGTTGGTCCGGCCAGGATTCGAACCACGACCTCGCTATGTCATGGGCTAGCCAATTACAGATCAAATATACAAATGCTGTTCTTAGGCAAAAACTACATTGAATTCAACGTAGTTCAAAAGGTATAAAGCTCTAAATGTGGAAACTGCTATTGCAACATTCAGGCTTCAGCATTTGTTACGATACGTGTCTGAATTAAAACTCAGACAAGTACGAATAAAAATAAGCAAGTTTTGCCATGTTTTTCTTTTTTTCTTTTCTCTTGGTAGTTTTGGAAAACAAACCTCAAAAATCAACCAAAAAAAAATAGAAAATAAACCTCATTTTGCATTTCAAATTCAATATGGACTCAGTTGTGAATCCAGCTTACCAGGAGTACTATCAAAAATATGGAGTAATTTCATATTTATATCGATAATATTCTACAAATTCTGGGAAGAATTCTACAAGAATTTTATATTTGTATAAAGGGAAAGGTGACCAAAAAAGATGTTGTTTTAAAATCCAGAATACACAAAAGTCCCCCTCGCCACTGCCCTTAGCTACGCTACCCCAGCCAAACATTATGAACGCTCTACTAGACACTACCATCAACGGCTTCATAGATGTTAGCTAGTATAAGACTGGATTGAAAAGGTAAATCAGATTTGTTTTTGCTGTTCGATCTTGGAATTACCTATTCTATGCTAAGATCTTCTTCTGAACAACTACCCAATTTAACCCTCTATGTGCATAGAGGCTGGAATAGTTTAATTTCTTGAAACATTACAGGAAGGGGAAGGGGGTTATAATTTTTGCCGCCATGTTGAATTACTTATTTACAATTAAAATAATAATATAGATACCAAGTTATTTGGCTCTTCAT